AAATATAATAATATAAAAATATTTATATATACATAATAAATAAACACAGTACACATACATATATTATGTAAACCAAAACTTTTATTTTGGATGCGATTAATCGCGATTAATCGTTTGACAGCACTATAAATAATACTAAAATAGCTCAAATTTTAGGAACAATGTAAAGCATAAATCAGCAGCGTCAGCATTAATATTTTAATAAACTGGTGTTAATTATGCAGAGTCATCAAATATGAAACGACTTCAATTTCAGTAGTAAAGCAGCTCTACAGAAGACAGTGGTGTTGTTATTCAGCTCAATTCAGTTCAACGTTTGGTCTTATTCGATAGTGTCAGTGCAGACAAATAGATGATGATGCCAAGTTTCAGTGCTCTTTTATACCCCAAAGTGGAGAAAAACCTCAGGAGAAAGCTTGGTTCTCCTCTGGCCTGTGGAGTTCTCTGCATTAATGTTTAGTGTGTTTGATTGTGTGTGTGTTTGGTTATGGAGGAGTTTGCACCATCGGATGAGGAACTGGAGGCTTATCGGAAAGGTGAGGAGTGGGACCCGCGGAAAGCTGAGGAGAGACGACGGCGAAAGGTGAGATCCTTCTGAAGACTGCAAGAACCGGCTCAAAAGAGAGAGTCAGTTCATAATCTTGTTGTTAGTTTATGTCTGTCTAATTGTTGATCTTTTATCTGACTGCTTGGAACAGCATGCTGAAGTTGGGTAATTGTTTACCGCATCTTCTTCAGGAACAGGCTGCACTGGAGATGGAAGAGGCCAGTCGCTCTCAGAAGAGGCCTGCGTCGCCTAATTCAAACTACAGAGACAAATACAGCCATCTGATTGGAATACCCCAGCGACTTAACACTGCTTTTGTGCTCCAGGGTCACATATGAGACCAACTCAATGACGTACGCGACCTCCAGAGGACACAGCCTACGAAACGAGACGCAGCTTATGGCTCTTTGTTATATAATGATTTTACCACAGCAGTGTAGTTATTGTTAACTAAAACTATTAAAAATCATTCATTTTTGTTAATTAAAAAAAAAAATCTGAAATACATATAAATATTACCTTATATAAGTTTAAGTAAATTCTTTTTATTTCAGTTTTAGTAATTTTAGTAAAGCTAAATAGAAATATTAAAAAAAAATATATATGATTTTTTTTTTTTTTGAAAAACAAGATTACTAAAAATAAAATTACGTTGAAAAATAAAACATAATTCAAAATATTAATAAATGCTGTAATAGTACATAAATAACACTTTATTACTACAGCTAAAGTGTGTTAGGTATATGAAAGCATAAAACATGGCAAAATAAGACCACAGCAGTGTTTGGTAAATATATATTTTTAACAGATCATGAAGATTTCTTCCACTAATAGGCTGTAGGTCATTATCAAAACTGTGAGCTATTTTTCATTGACAAGCAGTATATTAATGTGATTGATGTGCAGTTACAGAAAATAATTTTTACAGCTCTTTAGAGCACGTCCGATCACATTCTTGAGCCAGAATTATCAGAGAGATAAAAGGCAGGACTTAATTTTATTCAAAATAATTAATATCTAGCGATTAATCTTTCAGCTCTAACATGAACGTGAGATCGACGTGAAAAGTTTTGTAAATTAATAATTGTTAAGCAGCAATAATTCTGTATCTTATTCCATTTATTAATTCTGATTCCCTGTGATATTTTTTATTTTATTCTTTATTTATTAGGTTTTATTTTTATTTAGGTTAAAATTCAGATTTGTGTCAGAAAAGTACATATGCATGAATGAGGAACATGCATGAGGTCAGCAGCATGCAGTGACATGGAAAATTCTGCTCAAAACATTTGTGCTTCACTTAAAATTCTATATTTAAATGGAACCCTATAGGAACCGGAGAGCTTTTTCACGCTTCTCATTCTGGTGGTTTTTCATCACGCAGTACCACAGAGCTAGTAGTAAGTGATGTAAAACCCTTACAATCCTGTAAAGACACATTCGAGATGCAGGTATAAACACGAAACCAAGAAACTGATCTTAATACCAGGTGTAAATTTTAAAAAGAGTAAATCAAAATTTGTAATTTCTCATACAGGCTTGCTTTTGTGGAACAATACCGAAGCCCGGAGTGATTGCTGTCCTTGATTTGTTTTGATCGTGTGTGTGTCGTCTCATTGTTACAGTCCCTGTGGCCAATAAGAGAGACACTCGCTCCATCGAGGAAGCCATGAACGAGATCAGAGCCAAGAAAAGGCAGAAGAAAGGCGCTGGCAGCGGCAGCAGTGTGTGAAAGCAGTTGTTATGATTGAATCCTATAGCAAGGTTTTACATGAACAGCAGGGTTTATGAAGGCAGTGCAGAACTGCTGCAGTATAACCGCACCATTCACAAATGCTTTCATATTACTCGCCCAAATCAGAGTAAACCGAAACATGTGGTGTTTAATGTTGCAAAGTCCTTTGTATTTTGGCATGATGATCTTCTAACAGCTCTTTTTAAAGCTAAGCCACGATTAGTTTTCGTTTGCATTTCCATATTTCATATTTATTGCCTTGACATAACTGTGGTATGCATGTCTGACTCCATCTTCATTTTACGTCATGAAACCGTATGTCCTTAAACTAGTAGTTGTTTCTTGTTACCGTTTATTTGCTCTGTTTTAAATCAGTTTGGTTGAGGACAATTTTTCAGTGCTGCTTGTCGTTTTATGTACAGGTGTGTAGTTTGTTTCTGAGTTCTAATAAGCATTATGTATATCATCTTTCTTACATATTTTGTCCATTTACACTGGCTAATCTTCATTCTGTGTCGTGAAGCATTGTGTCTGTTTGTATGGACTAGATGAATCAAACATGATGGTGTTTTAGCCTATTATAGTGACAGAAACATCAACAATTGTTTTAAAATAAAGATTCAGAATCAGTTGTGCTGAAAGCAAACCATATTTCCAGTCTCTTTAGTGATTGATGCAGTTCTGTACCCTCATTTGACTTTTGTTTCACAGGACTTTTAGAAGTAAATAAAATTGTGTGGTGTCATAAATATCATAGTGTCATAGAATTTTTGGTTACACTTTATTTTAAGGTGTCTTTGTACATTTAAGTACTGAGTAATATTAATTAACTACATGTACTAACTATATGGGTAGGATTAGGGTTACGTGCATGTAATTATGCATAATTAATTGTTATTATAATAGTAAGCACATGTAACAAGGACACCTTAAAATAAAGTGTTACCGAATTTTTGTTCTATTTTTTTACAATTTATTTTCACGTGTATTTTTCTTAACATTTCTATCAACCTGTTCTAAATATAAAAATGTTTAACTCCTACTCTTATTTTAGATTTATTGTCATTTTTCGTTTATTTTACTTAATATTGCATTAGCATTATCAACTGCAAATACAGTATTTATTTATTGAACAAAAATGTAGTAATTTTTTTAAACATTTACATTACATTTAGTCATTTAGCAGACGGTTTTGGCGTTAGCAGACGTTAGCTTAATGCAGTACACGTAGAAATAAATAAATAAAAATAAAACAAGTAGAATAGAAAAAGAATAGAATGCTAATGTTAGAGGCTCTCTCTTTTTTTTTTTTTTTACAAACAAAACAAGTAGTAAGAATAGAATTAGAATAGAGAGTGCAAATGCTATAGGGTATATATATATATATAATTTAGTTAATTTGTATATTTGCCTGATTATTTAATTATTTCCATCAGCTCAGTTCCCTCGTGAATCTCCAGGTGGATCCGCGAGCCTGCGGGAATCTCGCTCATCTGTATCGCGATAGTTGCAGCTCTCGCTCGCACTTCCCGTTGGCCTTGCGGCATTGTAAACAAACGTGATCGTAGTTCCACCAAGAGCCGAATCGGCCAAGCTCCTCGAGAAACCGACACGGATCAATGAGCTGAAAGCATTTTCGGGAGGAATAGCGCCGTGTTGCACCGTTTTCAGCGGAATCAGACGCGCGTGGGAGACATCAGCTGGATACGAGTGATTAGCAGCTAGCGCTAGCAGACAGCCGCTTGTGCAGTGAGTAAACAACTACAGACCTCTCAGCTACTTTTCAACTAACATTTGAATATTTTCTACGTTTGGGATCTATTTTGGGTTTTTAGAAATACTGTAGGGGTCGGGAAGCAGCAGAGCCTTCAAGTCGGGGATGTCAGTTAAGAATTGGCGGTAGAACTGGGCTTAGGAAGTTGTAAATACGTTGTATTTGTATGTTGTTGATACATAGCAATAAGGTTTGCTAGGGAATATGACTTCAGATTTGTTTTACTATTTGTTAATTGACTAAGTGCACTCAGTAATTGGCTGCTGACAGTAACGTGTTGTTGATGTGGATCTCCTGACAGCAGACTGAAAGTTTACAGTAGTAGAATTATAGCTGGAAGATGTTAGGCCTCGTTTCTTGATGTTTACTGAATAAATTTTGCTAAAACTCACACACACACACACACACACTCACACACACTCACACACACTCTCACACACACTCACACACAAACACACACACACTCACTCACACACACACAAACACACACACTCACACACACCGCTCAGAGAGTTCTCACAGCATCTCATGAGTATATAATGAGAACGAGGGACTCGGTGTGAAATGGAAACTTCATTCCTGTGATCAGCAGCGGAGCTGAACGACTCGTGATGCTCCACCAGTGTTATTTTAGTAGCACTGATATACTATTATAGTAGTTATTTCCTATTTTTGTTATTATTTTGAATTATTTTAATAATATTTTTAGTAATATTTAGAATTGTTGGTATTTTAATTTTAGTTAAAGTTTTAGTAATTTAGTTGTGTTGTATCTACACACACACTCTCACACACACACTCTCACACACTCTCTCACACACTCTCTCACACACTCTCTCTCTCACACTCTCTCACACACACACACACACCACACACACACTCTCTCACTCACACACACACTCTCTCTCACACACACACACAAATCACGTGTTAAACACAGTGCTTTGCTGTTTTTCTTTCTCAGGCTGAGGTTAAAGGGTTCATCAAATGCAGTTTCAGATTTTTGTATTCTGTTTCTGGAGGTTCGTTTATAAAGTTAGCAGTATTTTGCATCAAAAAAAGGTCCAATATTTGAAAAAAAAAAAAAATATATATATATATACATTTCACTCTCTGTGAAAAACAGCCGATTTCAAGGGGAGTAAACGGAAGTAAATGCACATTGCTGTGACTGGATAACTTCATTGCACCGTACTCATGGCGTGTGTTTTGAAGCTCGCGATGGCAAGTGCTGTGAAAGAGCCTTATATGTTTGAGCCGGAGGCAGAAGAGATCGAAACAACACAATCATTTGCAATGCAAAGCAACATAAACAGAACTATTAAACATATTTCTTAAAAGATGACGACAGTAAAACACTAGCGACACATTGTGTGAAGGGTTGATAAGGGCAGTTTCTTTATATCCGTCACTATTCTCCTGATTTCAAATCTGGGAATTTTAGAAAGTTACAAAAGAATAATTCATATTTTGATCTGAGGAGTTAGTTTTGAGTTCTGAAACTTGCAGTATGTCTTTATTGTAGAGTAACCTCTTAGATGTGTAAATATCAAGAGCATTTCATGAAACCTTTATCAGTAGGACAAGACTAGTTTAAAGTGACAATTACAGCTCAGTATTTGATCCGGCCTTGATGATGAGGAACCAAAACTTCCCGTTTGCAAATCTAGCGAGACTGCTTTTCATTCGATCCACCAGCTACAGAACACGTCGGATGACTCTCAGACACGCCTTGTGTTGCATGTCCTATCTGACTTGTTCTCCTTGAATTGGAAAGAGTATACTTACAGGTTGTTGATGACTCGTGGAAACGGCAGATTCCTCACAGTTTAGTAACACAAGAAATCAGTGCCTTTCATGCTCAGGGTTAATCATATGTTGGGAAGATGAGTAAAGTGCAATTCTCAGAATGGCTTGATGACTTGATGTTCGTTTTTAAGGAAGCTTTTACGTAATATTAAATGAGAATTCTGTCAACACAGAAGAAGGTCAAGGAAAACATCTTGGAGCGCTGCATTTCCCAAAAACATCTCGAGCCCGAGTAGATCATAGAAACCATTGGTGCTATCTAGGATCTGCTTAAGCTCAAACTATACTTTGTTCGTCCGCGTTCTGCAGTGGTCCGTGTGATGTAATTTTTGTTTTATGAGGGTCTTGAAGATCATTTTGCGTGACTTTTATAGCCATACTGAAAGCAACAATAGATAGTTTACCTCAGATCTTGAAAATAAATTAAAGCAAACATGCATGTTAAAACTGTGAACTCGATGCGAATCAGTCACTCTTTTAATAGTGTTAAAAAGGTTTAATATTTATGAAACGTAAACATTTCGTTGGGAGTGCAGTGTGCTTACAGAGAGGCTCCGCTCACACGTGCTTCTGATTGGCTGTGATATTTGATTGATTGTGTCGTGTCGCACAGCTGTGTCACGTCTGGTGTGGACGGTCAAATTGCTTGTCACGTGGCGTCTGGTTAAGACACAGTGTTAGGCTCACAATGCTTTCGTGCAACTCGGCCCTGGTTAGTTGCTGTTTGAATAGGGAAGCTATTAAAAATATGTGTTTAAAATGTGTTTAAAACCTGGTCAGGTCATTGAAGCTGGCCTGAAATGTGACCCTGGACCACCAAACCAGTCATAAGAGTCAAATTTGGCTGAGATACAACTATTTGAAAATCTGGAATCTGAGGGTGCAAAAAAATCTAAATATTGAGAAAATCATCTTTAAAGTTGTCCAAATGAAGTTCTTAGCAATGCATATTACTAATCAAAAATTAAGTTTTGATATATTTACGGTAGGAAATTTACAAAATATCTTCATGGAACATGATCTTTACTTAATATCCTAATGATTTTTGGCATAAAAAAAATCTATAATTTTGACCCATACAATGTATTGTTGGCTATTGCTACAAATATACCCCAGCGACTTAAGACTGCTTTTGTGCTCCAGGCTCACATATAAAAATTAATCTGATCTGTTTTCTAAATGCATGTTGTAGATCTTATTGTGAACGATTCATCCGTGCCATGTTTCATTTTTATTTCCTCAATCTTCTGGTGAAAGTGATGTCTCTGGATTTCTCCAATCATTTAGTCTGCTTAAACCCTGCCATTTAGAGGTCTACACGGGGGACCCGAGACCCGAGGACCTGTGGTCAGCCGGGTCTGGGTCGGGTCCTAATCTATTACTTCGGGTCCCGGGTAGGGGTGTGCGATATTGACAAAAAATTATATCTCAATATTTGAACATTTGCTTCCGCTCTGGAATGGCATTCCTTTTCTGATGACGTCAGTTTGACGGCTTGGGCAGAACATCCTTAAACACACCCCTCCAACCGTTAGGTTGCTACGAGTGAGAGACAGAGAGGAGGAGCGCTAAAATAAAACCATGCCCTCTATTCAATATTCCGTTTCAGCTGGAAATACGTCACTACACTGAAATAAGTCGGCAGCAACTTCCGGTTCACACGGACTTTAAGGACTGCCGAAGACAGCTGACTCCTAATGTTTTGAATAGAAGGCTTCTTACATTAGGTAAGACAAAAAGTTTAATTTTCGCAACTTGTTTATCGACTTAGCAATTTGCTGTGGAATATGTGCCGATCGGGTCCAGTCGGGTCTGTGTCTTCCCGGCCGGGTTCGGGTCCATCTTTCAAATAATTGACGGTCCGCGTCGGTTCCGGGTAGTACATTTTTGACATTTCTCGGTTCTGCACGGGCCCGGGTCCAACTTTCAAAATAATAGACTGGTCCGGGTCGGTTCAGTGTAGCACATTTATGGGTCTCTTCGGGTTCGGGTACGAATTTTTGGACCCGTGTAGACCTCTACTGCCATTCCACAAAAATACTGCAAGATGAGTGCCACGCCCACATTTCACAAACCAATCAACAACCAACGGATAGAACCAAATCCCACCCTACATTTTTTCCATAATCTGTCACGCTCGGATGTACGTCCCAATATGGAAGAAAAGATCTGTCGCTACTTTTGTCCTATGGCAACTTTAAAAGCTCATCAGGAGCTCACTGCAGTGCAATAACTCACACAAATGAAATAATTCATAATTCCAATTTTTTTTTTTTTGGTGTTGGCACATGACAGATCAACTCAGTCCCCAGTAAGTCTGCAGTCTTCATCCTGAGGGGAGAAATGCTTAATCAGGAGTTCTTATTGAAGAGAAGAGTTCTCATGTATTGAAGAGATTGCATTGTCTCATGCATGCTTTTCTGTGTCTAACCTCTTTAGACATGGTCAGACTGAAAATGTCTGTCGCTGTTGGTGAAGGTTGTAAACTCATGCGTCTGTATGCGTCATTTTTTTTATTTTATTTTATTTTTTTTAATTATATTAGTGTTATATTACATCCCTACTGTGTTATTCCTATGTATGTCTGCACTATGTTTGTACTTTCTTCTACACTGGAAGCTCCTGTCGTCAAGTCAAATTCATTGTGTGTGTAAACATACTTGGTAATAAAGCTCTTCTGATTCTGTATGCAGGTCTTTGTCGGCCCTCGTCAGGGCCCGGTCTAATTCAGGATGGCGTATGTTGGGACGCAGCTGGGTGTATCGGTCCTAGTCTTATTCTGCACTATGGCGCAGTCTCCTGGTCAGGCATATATATATGCTGTAAGTGTCTGGTTTTAGGCTTTTATTCATTTATAGATGCTTTTATGATATTGGGCTACACACGGCACCTTTCAGCAGTCAATGTAAATTTTATGATGTAGGGTTTGATTGCTTTGCACTGCAGTTGCTAATGGCCTCTTTTCTATTCTGTGCAGCATTACAGTAACATGACCTCCATGCTGTTTGAAGATCTGCCCGCTCTCTTCGGCCCTCCTCTGCCAAAAGATGGACTCATGGTAATGAATCTCTGCTGCTGGACTCGTAGGTTTGCCCAGTGAATACAGTACTAGATGTGAGTGACTGACTTGTCTGTCTTCTGCTCTCTCTCCCAGGGTGTGCTGGTAGAAGCTCGTCCTCAGAATGCCTGCATGCCTATAGATCCTCCTCCAGTTTCTCCCACACCCTCCGATCCCAACAGCACTACAAAATACATTGTCCTCATTCGACGCTATGACTGTAACTTTGATATCAAGGTTAATGTTCTCGCACAGCTGCGCTATTTCAGTAGATTCCAAAATATGGGCTATAAAAGTTGAAGTGTGAAATAATATGGTCGACTGCCAAGAATATATATAAAACTAAAAGCATGTGACAATAGACAATGTACCCTTGTGAAAAAGAAGTACACTTCAGCATACTGACAAGCAATACTTATGACTATATACTTAGTACTTATTATGGAAATAATATGCTTTAAAAGAATATATTTAAGTGTGAAGTAAATGTAATGTTTTGAACACGTAATTGCATTTTTGACCCACTTAAGTAGGACTTCAGTACATCTTTATATGTAATTTTTATAATTCTATTGTCTTTGAAATATGGTTACAGTGCAAACATTTGTAGTAAACTAAAATGTACTTCGCGATTTCTATTGAAACTTGTTTGTCATGCACTTAAATATATTTGTAATTATACATTTGGGATGATAAAGTCACAAACAGTCCATTTAAAATACATTAACTTTAAATGTAACGTCAAGTTTAGTCAAATCAAAATAAGTGTACTCCTTTGAAGCATGACAAATAATTATTAAAGCATAATGATTATAAAGTATGCTTAAAAATAAAAACTTTTAATTTGACTATTACAAAGTGCAATGTTTAAGTGTACTTAACTGTGTAAAGAAACATGAAAGTGTTTCTCTTTAAGGGAGCCTACACTTAGGCAACCTTTTAATGCATTAATATATAATCTGCAAGTAGTTTTTTTTTTTTTTTGAAGTACACTAAGTGCACATTCAATACAATGAAGCACACTTCTTTTTCACAAGGGCATGTTATCCGGTGTCAAGGCTAGCAAAAGGTCAGAGACTTATATGGCCACAGATATGCTTAGTGTGCATTGTGCAATGAATAACAGAATATGTGAGCAATACTGTTTTTGTTTTTTAACCTTATAGGTGCTCCATGCGCAGCAGGCCGGTTTCAGTGCAGCCATAGTTCACAACATGTACTCTAATTCACTTCTCAGTATGGGATACAGCAATGGTGAGACACACACACACACACACTGCTTCTGTTGAGCGGTTATGGGAAACACAGGTGTGTGTTTTATACTAGTAATGGGAATACTACACTCTTCTTATTGGTAGCTGAAAACAAACAAAACTGATTGATAAATGAACATATAAGCAGTGGTGGATATATAGAATGACAGGTGTTTGAAGTCTATCTATGGAGCCTTCTTTGGTATTTTGCAAATTTCAATACAATTGACCCCTATTGAAGACACATACTTTATCATATTTGCAATCCAGTCTGATGTCCGCTTTGTTTCTGCTTAGACACTATCATGGAGGAGATCGAGATTCCCTCTGTGTTCACAAGCTACTATGCCTCTCAGATACTGCGCAGCTTTATCATACCAGAGAAAGGGTGAGAATGATATGGTCTACATGCATTCTAACACAAAAACGGAATCTAGATAGATATATGAATAGAAACAGTCATTTGGACACACCTACATTCTCAGAAAACAGGTATAACATCTTACCTTTTCGAAAGGGACACTTTTGTACCGTATTTACCCCTAAAGGGTGCATTCTAGTACCTCAAAGTTACATATTAGTGTTTTAAAAGTACATTTTAGTACCTAAATGGTACATCTTTTGAAAAGGTACTGCCCTACTGACAGATTTTGTACTGAGAGTGTTGATTTTTTTTCTCATAATTTTAGTAAAATACCGGTAGTGAGTGATCAAAGCCATGAAATAACAAATATGGGCATGTGGAAATTATGTAGCGACCTAAAATAGTCAACAAATGAAAACTGTCATATTTGAGTTTTTTCAAATGCTGAAATACCTTTGTATAGTTTACAGAGCTACTCACTCAGGTTCAGACGATTTCTTCTTTGGATGCTCTTTTAAACAGTAAACAGTATGTGCTCTAACACATCCATGTATAATAAAAGAAAGATATTTATTTACTACATTTTGTATTTTGTAACAAAAAATCAAGCTTGAGCACAATTTAAATTTGTGTACAAATCTAATTTCACTCGGAGAGCATTGTGATAAACTTAAGTTCAGTCAGGTATGTCCAGGATTTTAATGGGTATTTAGACACAGACTTTATTCAGCTTACCGTCTTTCTGGGCAAAGGTTGTCATAAAGGTGCTTTTATGTTTTTAAGGTTGTGTGTGTGTAACTTTATTTGTTGACCCACTTTGCTTTAGAGCTTACGTGATTCTGAAGCCTGAGTTCTCCTTCCCTCTGTCCTACTATCTCATCCCCTTCACTGGAGTAGTCAGCATGATCATCATTGTCATGGTCATCATTCTGGTCAGTGCTGCTCTGACTGCTTTATAAACCCCTAAATGACGTTGTGGATTTATACTAGAGTCATGCATGAAAGTATAGGTGTCTAGAACACTATTTAGAACGTTCATAAAGTATTAAATAAAGCGTAGAGCATAGTTTTGCTCATGTCAGGATGTAAACAAATGTAGTCTAGGTAGGCAGCTATATAGGGTTTGGAACAGAGTCAATGATGCATTCATTGGTGGGTAGTAATGTGTTCTCCTCCTGGTTGGTCCAGATTGTGCGGTGCGTGCAGCACAGGAAGAGACTTCGGAAAAACAGACTCTCCAAAGAACAGCTGAAGAAAATCCCCACGCACAAGTTTGTTAAAGGTGAGCTGAAGAGGCTTCACTAAAGGTTTATTCAGGGTTAAACGGGACATGCACCCTATGGGCCGCATCTGTGATGTGCTTTTAATTACCGCAGGAAATAGTCTTGACTCCACCAACAAAAACAAACACATTTACTGAACTGACAATCAAGTCCAAATTATAGTCAAGGTTTGGCAATATAGTAAATATATATATATATATATATATATATATATAGGCAATATAAAAATATGACAGTATAGCTAAAGAAATGTATCAGAACTGCGTGTTGGAAATCATAGAAGTTAAGTTTTTTTTTTTTTTTTAGGAGCATACCAGGGATATTATAGTTAACACTTTTGTTACTTGAAATAAAATAAATGTTAACTGAAATAAGATTTTTTTTAAACTTCAGCTATTGTCCAAGGCAACATTTCACATTTTCATTTAGTTTAACTTGATGTTCTAAAAAAAAAAATTTTTAAATCTGAAGTACAAATTAATTTAAAATATATAGACATTTTTAAAAACTACTAAAAAATGCACAGCAAAATGACTAAAACTTTAACTAAAATTAACACGAAAGCAGAAAATCTAAAAAATAAAATCTAATCCAAAATATAACAAAAACTATGATAGTATCTGGATGATGCTGGAATAACACTGGCATACACCACTTACTCCTGATCTCGGATGTGCCACGTTGTACACATTTTCAGAGTGGGTTCTGATTGTTCTACTGGATCATCTAGCGCTTTAATAACTGCGTATTTTTCTCAGGTGATAATTATGATGTCTGTGCGATCTGCCTCGATGAGTATGAAGAGGGAGATAAGCTGAGAGTGCTGCCGTGTTCACATGGTAAGTGAACCTGTCGTGTCTTTGCACATGCATGCAAGGAATTAAACATGTTTTAGTTTGACATTCTGAAAAAAACATATCAAAGCATTTAGAGCTGATTGGAGCTGATCAGAGCCATTCTGGAGGTCTCTCACACGTATAACCTGGCAGACTGTTTAACTTAAGTAAAGTAAATTTTAATAGCAGCCTTTATATGGTGAAGTTTAATTATCATTGAAGCTGAAGAGTAATATCACTCATGAGTTCACCTACATTCATAGAAATGCATGGCTGCAGGGAAAAGCACTGATTACATCCAGAATGAGTGCAAAAAGTCATCTTTCTTACTGAATTTTTTTTATTCATGTTTCAAGAATCTCTTTATTTGTGAAAAAATAACATAATAGGATTGATTAAAGAATAAAGAAGCTGCATGTTTACAGATTTTTTTATCAAGTTTCAAATTTTTAAAAAGTAACTTGATTTTTAAGTGATTTATTTCTACTTATTTTAGTAAATATTATGTAAAATAAATATAAATTTCATGGCAGACACTGTTATGCATGTGCTGTTTTCTATTTTTATATTAAATGTGATATCATATATGCATATATATATATATATATATATATCGCCACAAGGTATCAGCCATCCTGCTCTCTGGTTTCAAAAAATCGTCAATCAAAAAATAAATAAACATATTGGTCAACATCGATTTTTTTTTCTTTTCTTGTATTGTCGTCTTAAACTCCGTAAATGCATGTGTAAAAAATATTCCTGCACATTAAGTCACCAAAACAACAAACTGAAAAAAAAATAAAAAATGGCTTATTGTAAGAAATGGCATTTCACTGTGAGCCGCAAGGGAAAACGAAATTATTTTAGTAAATATTATGTAAAATAAATAGAAATTCCATTGCATAAATTGTTATGCATTTGCTATTTAGTATGTTTAAATTAAATCGTGTTTTATCATACAGTGCTTGTCAAAAATTTGGAAACATTATGATATTTCAACCCATAACAAAGACATCTCAAACAATGTCATCTTTGCATTAAAAATGACATAACTGAGCGAATGACACTTAATGACAGTTGTCATAAACGTGCATAAAACCTCCTTCATATTCATATTCATGTAATTATTATTAAGGTGTCATGTCAGTCTTATGCACACCCCTTCAAGTAAAGTGTTACCAAATACAGTAAAAGCACTAATATTGTGAAATATTATTACAATTCAAATTCAAAGCTTCGGTGTCACACGATCCCTCAGAAATCATTCTAATAGAAAACCGCGGTTTTACATTGTAATACTATCTCACAATAGCAGAAGAGATTTCATTCAAAATACTTTTGACAAGTGCTGCATGCATATATCGGTGAAATAGCATTTTAAAGCAAAGCAGAGTTATTTTCGGTCCTTGTTCAGAATAGCATAACATCGTTGTGTTTTTGTCCTGTTGTTCAGCTTACCACTGCAGGTGTGTGGACCCCTGGCTCACCCAAACTAAAAAAACCTGCCCGGTGTGCAAGCAGCGTGTGACCCGTCCCAACCCAGAATACTCAGAGTCTTCAGACTCCGATGGAGAGTCAGGGCCGCACGAGGAAGAGGAAGGAGCGACCAGCGAGGCAGATTCTGAGCGCACGCCTCTCCTTCGGCCCTCCAACCCTGCCTCCTCCAGCCCGCCTCCCACTTACTCCTCCACCGTAACGTCAGAGGCAGCCGTCGCCACGGTAACGACATCCGCACTCCACGACGAGTACTACTCGCCCATAGAGGACTCGGAGGAAGGTACTGATGATGATAGCGATACCACAGAGCTCATGGGATGGGGCGCAGTGCGAGTCTGAGGGCTTGATTAAAATCACACCTCATATTTACACCCCTTGTTTTGGCGCACTCCATCCATCTCGTTCTTAACTAGCTATAGTGCGACCAACACTACACAGCATTTGTGCAGCAGTGTCTGACTGTAATCACACATTTGTGTGTGTTTCACTAAAGCTTCTTTCCCCTGAAACTTGGTCCGTGTCCAAAAAGGAGTTAACGTTTTGAAGTGAATGAAACAAAATTTGACCCCGGAGCACAAAAGCAGTCATAAGGGTCAATTTTTTAAAATTGAGATGTATACATCATGAATAAATGAGCTTTCCATTAATGTATGGTTTGTTAGAATAATAGGACAATATGTGGCTGAGATACAACTATTAGAAAATCTGGTTAATATCCTAATGATTTTTGGCATAAAAGAAAAATCTATAATTTTGACCCATACAATGTATTTTTGGCTATTGCTACAAATATACCCCAGCGACTTATGACTCCAGGGTCACAAATAGTCCATCCATAAATAAATACATTAAAACCGATCATTTACTCACCCCTCATGTCATTACAAATCAGTATGAATTTCTTTCATCGGTGAAACACGAAAGGATCTTTGTTTTTTTTGGCAGTGTTTCGTAGTAGCCCACATGATAACACTGCAGATGATTAGTTTTGCTTGATTAGGGAGACTGCTACAAGACGACGACAACAACAGAACTGTCAAACCTGAATGCATGCAAGTACAAATGAGATTGTAAAGCTAGATATATAGTGAATGACGACTTAAAGGGATAGTTCACACAGAAATCGGTTACTCGCTCTTGTGTCGTTCCAAACCCAGAAGACTTCTGTTAATCTTTGAACACAAATGAAGATATTTTTAATATTCCCTCATCTGTTGAAAGTCCATGCAACCAACAATTTCATGCTTTAAAACACAAAAGACATCATAAAGGTAAAATCAGTCATCAAAAAGTTTAATAAAGAGATCATAAAAGAAATAGATATGATTTAGTCGGTTTAATCCAAGTCTTCGGAAGAATGGATTTATATGATGATCAGATTTAATTTAAGCTTTAATTCACATATAAACATTGATCAACACACAATCAGAGAGAACATAGAAATATGGTAAACTCAACTGTACTTACTGTAAGTACATCAGAGCTTCCATTTACTATATTTTGATGTGCTCGTAAATGTGTGTTTATGAATGTTTATATGTGAATAAAAGCCTAAATTTAAATATGTTCATTATATAATGAAGTCAATTCATATGGATTTCTTTCATGATCTCTTTATGAACGTTTTGAAGCTCAAAGTTTAGTTTTTTAGGGCAGAAATCTGTCCGGTTTAATTTAAAATGTCTTCATGTGTGTTTTGAAGATGAACGAAAGTCTTATGGGTTTGGAACAACATGACAATTTTCATTTTTGGTTGAACCATCCCTTTAAATTCTGCTTTGTTCCTCGCATAAATCTGTTTAAAACTTACAAGATTCAGAATATAGCACATTATTCATATGGATTAATTCAACGGGGATTGATGGTGAGTTTATGGAAAAGAGCAGCCTTCTTATTCTGCTAAATATCTCCATTTGTGTTTCACCGGGGGAAAAAAATCAAAATGAGGGTGAGTAAATGGTGACAAAATTCTCAAGATTGTGGGTGAACCATTCGTTTAAGTTGGTGGTTCTTGCCTGGTCACCATTTATGTGCAATACGGACAGGTTGCCAGTTTGTAAATGAACACTTTTATTTTATTTATAATCCGGAGGCCACACAGAAATCATTGCAGACTTCTGAATTAGCGTCCTTGTTTTATGTTATATTTAGTAAACACCTGCATAAATCAACCTGTGATCAAATAAGACCATTCCTACAGTATTCCCATTTACAGCCTGGTGACTTTTAATTGGTTCGGGTTATTACAACAACACAAATCCTTTATTATCTGTCATTTTTCTTATTTGAAATACATGGGCTTTCTAAACCAGTTTCTTGCAGATCTCTGGTTCTACATCATATATTGGCATTATTCGCTCTCACACTGATATGGTTGCAGTTAAACGTTTTATTATCGTTATTGATGCAAGCTGTAAAGCTGAGTGAACAACAGTCTCGTTCTTTGTTTAATATAGACATTTACAATTTAAGTGCTAGCTGCTGTTTCGAATTCAAATTGACTTTGATCATAGTTGACTGTATAGACTTAATGACTGTGTTTCTAGCCTTTTTAGATTGTTGTCTGTACTAAATAAACCTGTGCCTCATTTATAAATGTAACCCCATCCGTCTCTTCCTCTAAATCACTAACCAGTCAAATGCATGCCATGTGTCTGTTTTTCTTTCTCTGTAGTGGTTGTAGTTTCAGTCTTTGACCTCGCTGACATAGAGGCCAGAAATTAAAAGGGCATTCAGATATATTTGTGTCTCAAAACAACTGTAAAGAATCAGAGAGTTTGCACCTGTGGCTTGCTGTGCCCTGAGACTGGGACCAAAAGCTTGTGTTATTATTATTATTATTTTGACTCAATATATCATTTTAGATCAGTGTCTGTTTTATCATTGTGTGCTGCATTTTAATGTACTTTACTGAGGATTTATATAGGACTGCACTAGTGCTTCATTTTTTGAAATTTTCACTATTTCCTGAATCAGATCTCGTATTAGTATTATTGTTGAAAGGTTTAACAAATGCAGATTTCATGCAAGTAAAAGTCTATATTCTGTGTAGTTTCTAATATTATGGATAGAACAATTATGTCTATTCAGAGGTATTTGTTCATGTATCATTCACCTAATTTATATAACATTTTATTCCTAAAACATGACCCTTTTTTCTGATCGATTGGAGTGAGAAAAAAAAAAAAAAAAGAGTAATAAATTGTACTTTTTGAGATTGAATGGTATATTATGGATTCTTTACTGAACAATTTTTTTTTTTTTTTTTTTTTTTTAATATACAGAAAAGCCTGTTGAAATGCACATATGCTCTAGAGCGGTTTTGTAGGATTGCAGAAGTGAGCATAAATATCTGTTTAATATCCATACAGCTTAATTTTATATTGAACAGAATTTGGTAAATAACTATATACAATGATTTACTTTGGATAAATAAGCAAATTAAACTCATTTAAAATCAGTGTAAATGTTAAATTACATGTAACCATATTATTAAAATATAAGTTTGAACTTTAAAAATACTAATTTTTTTATAATCAATTAAAAAAGGGTTGCATCACCAGTGACAAATTATCATCAAAAACTGAATTTTTAGTTTGAGATTATATGTTTGAAGTAAAAAAGACAATTGCTAATGTTTTAATGTTGTCATTAGTAGTTAGTAATCGGTAATTCATTAACAGTTCCTATTCTGTAATTATTGATTACATAAGGAACTATCTCAGTCCTAAATTTGCTCAAATTCACTGTTCAGTTAATATGGTTTTCATAATAGTCAAGTGTTGTCATTAGTCCTGCACTGTATCGTTACATTAATTATGGACCTTTATTATTATCAAGTGTTTCCACTCACAAAATACACCTTTCAAATTAAAACCTTAAAAACAGAACACATTTATCTTATATAAAAGCATTAAATAGTTGACAAATTCCTATGGTCTTCACAATTGTAAACAAACTAATAGTTCATTAATACACAACATATAAAGGTCACTACATCAGTGTTTTTAATGGTCAATACTTCATTTTCTGTCACTGCATCCCTAAACGAAGCCTGGTCTCAAGCTAAACCAACAGAGCTTTTGTGTTTGTTTGTTTGTTTGTGTACCTCTGTGATTATTAGATGAACTCAAGCTCAAGCTAAACCAACAGAGCTTTTGTGTTTGTTTGTTTGTTTGTTTGTGTACCTCTGTGATTATTAGATGAACTCAAGTTCACGCAGTTGTCCTTGAAGAATTATCACAGGTGTAGTTCATTACAAGAACTTTTTCCACAAAATGTAGGAACCTGTTTAAATACTTAAAGCTTTTTGACGGAATTTTGAATACTATATTTACTGTTGCTATATTATTTGCATTTTGCTTGAAAAGTGTCTGGCTATATTTCTTTCAAATGCATGTCGCTGATGCCAATGTCATCCAGATCCAGATACAGAAATGTCCATTTCTCGTGTGGAGAAAGTTAGTGCATCCCTACATCATCTCTGTATCAAATGCCTAAAAATAGAATCGCATGCAAATTAGTAGAACATCATTAAAAAGGAAGGACACATATTTTATAAACATCAATATATTTGCCTGGTTTGGTCATAAATATTGAAGTACAGGCACCATTATGCTAAGATCACAGAAGCAGCCTGAAGAAGCCTCAGAAGGAAGGCAGGTGTGTCTGGAAATACATTTATATTCCACTATTTCACTGTACGTAAAATAGTCTATTAAATGGAACAAATCCATCAAGACATTTTGACTTTAAACTGTGGCTTCTGTCCAAATACATGCCCATAATCCATAATAAACTCTCACATTAAAAACCACCCACATATTTGTTTAGAGCTGCTTTGGCTTGTAAGCGGTGCATGATCTGTTCAGATTTCTCTCCTGATTCAGATGAGATGACATTTTCACTGTAGAAAGCAATATTATGGACCGAGGACTTTTAGCTGGAAGCAATGGTTTGAAGTTAAAAACGTCTGAATTATGGATTTGTTTCTTAGAAACACGCAGCTTTTGTCTTCTCCAGATGTTAACTGATGGACTGGATTATTGTGATGTTTTTATCCGCTGTTTGGACTCTCATTCTGACGGCACCCATTCACTGCAGAGCATCCATTGCAGAGACACTGATGCAATGCTACATTTCTACAAACCTCAAGATACTTCAGGAAGTCTCCAAGAGCCACAAAGTGCCATCAAGGGATCCTATACATGTGTCCTATTACCCTTTTGTGCATAATGCAATTAATATGTAAGTTAAAATCACAGTTATATTTTCATAGGTATATCAACAGTTTTTCCTTGTGAAAGGATAGATGCATCACAGCTTGTGAACTTATGCACTATGCCATGCTGTTTACACACTGTTTAAAAGTGCACTTTAAATACCCACATGATGCACTTAAATATATGAATGTTGGACTCTTTATGCACTCAACTGTCGCAGCTTTAATCACGTGATCAGACTCTGATGCTGTATGACAAAATACATGTATACATTTCTTACACTTTGAGTGCGTAGTGTATAATGCCTCATTTGGGACGCAACTGTTGTTTGTTGCAACAGACTGGTTTTTAACATGTTAACCTTTAGTCCTGCCCTTCATTTGAATGACATTGAAATGT